CTTGCCCCACGTGACTCTATATACATGCATTCATGAAACTGTGCAACAAAATGTTTTTGGCGCATTATATTTCCAAACAATTGAACTTAGATGTGTGCGAAAGAGAGACAGCAATCGGGAAAAACAAAAGCTGGAAGTAGAATGAAAAAGAATGCAGACATAAGTGAAAACTATAATCTACTCCCACTAAATCTTATTAGAAATAGAAATAACCTTTATTCAAATAAACTCATTACAAGCACTTTTGAATAGTCATATTTTGATTCTACCACTCAACTTCTTGTGATGAATCTTCGGAAGGCAGATTCATCACAAGAAGAATGAGCAAGAAACTTGTGTGTTGCTCTTTTTAATAGATGTTTTTTTTTATATAAATAATTACAGTATAACAAGTAAGAGGCATGCGATAATCAACATAAAAGTCGCTATGCACTATTCATGTAATCAGATAATATTGTCAGTGCTATAGATTTAAAGTTTTCTATAAAACATTATTATCGTTAACGACTTCTTCAATTTTATAGTAAGCTTTTTTGCAAAGGAACTGTTTTATTTGACATTTAAATCTTTTTTCAGGCAGATTTATAACAGACTCTGGTATTTTATTGTAAAAACTTACGCAATTGCCATAGAACGAATTACTAACTTTAGCCAAACGACATTTAGGTAAAATCAGTTTGTTATTGTTACGTAAGCTTTTATTAGTGCAAAGACTAACTCTTTTGAAACTGTCTATATTCCTTCTGGCATAGATGATATTTTCATAAATGTATTGAGAAGCAACGGTGAGGATATTTGATTCCTTAAAATACTCTCGCAATGACTCCCTGGAACCCATACCATAAATGGATTAATTTTATAAACACGAAAGTTTATGGGCAAAAACAGCTGAACAGATTTTAATGAAACTTTACAGTATATAATACTGACAGAGCTACTACAGAGCTCAGACATCAGAATAATACATAGAGATCTGCTTGCGATTGTCTATATATAGATATAATGTGGCATTAAAAATACATTCAACCCTATATATTCACCCTTCTATCACCAACCCCTATTTTTTATTAGTGATTTTAATTTATATGTCACAACAACGTTTTCGGGATCAGCTAGTACATATAATAATCTCAATAATCTCAGGACAATTCACACAGCGCCATCTAGACCCAAGTTAAGCTAGCTAAAGCTTGTGTTATGGGTACTAGATAACTGATACAAGTACATAGATATTTTTTTTTTCGTAAATACATACATATTATACATAGAAAACACCCAGACCGATACAAACAATCATACTCATGAATACAAATGTTTGTGCCGTGCGAGGAATCGAACCCGCGGTAAAGCGGTGTACTAGACCGCTAGACCACCGAGGTCGTCAAACATATATATATTATATATTGCAAAATTGCACAAAAGCCAAAATTTCAGTATTTTTACGCAGGTAGCAGACACTGAGTTTCAGCTGTAGCCAGAAACTACTAAACAACGGAAAGCTACGTCAAAGAATAGGGTTGCCAATCCTTTTTTAACTTTACTCGAATATCCAAAAGCTATAATAGTAACTTTAATGATATATATTTATTCTCCAGTAAATTCTGTGCTTTCAAAGAACAAATAACTAATGGACTAATGATATATATATATATATATTCTCCAGTAACTCTGTGCTTTCAAAAAACATTTAACTAATGAACTGAGACGAGAATATCATCTATTGAAACTAACGTAATAAATATTTGTAATACTGTAGTCTGTAGTATGTTCATCATAAAATTTTTAGTTCTCCTTGTTTTGTGAATCCAAAATAGTTTTACTTGAATTAGCACAGAGTAAGCCTGTTCTCAAACGGAAAATTTTTGATTATCTCTTGAATGAACAAAACGGTTCTTAATTATCTATTGTTGTCATAATATATATGTAAATTTCTCTTTTATTTAATTTTATTGGTGTATCATTATTATGTATTATAGTAGGTATATATTTATATTTATGTATGTATATTATATTTATTTTTAAGAAAACCTATTTATCTATATTAGGTAAAATTATAGGTTAGTCCTTTCTCATCGCTGCCCATCAACCGCTTTCTGTTCTTACCTAATGGTTAGCTGGTAGAGACGCCATATTGCATTAAGCTCGCCAAATTGTACAATTTTTAAAAGTGCAATAAAGAATAAATAAATAATTGTAGGTAATTAATAAGTAACGCATGATTTTTGTGACATGCCTTAGGCATTATATATTTACAGTAATCAATGGTTGGTGGATGACACTATTGTTAAAAATTATTAGGAAATAGCCTATCGGAACGCAGATTTATCACAAAAAGAATGAACAAGAAACTTGTGTTGCTCTTTTGGTCGCGGTTTCGATTCCTCGCACGGTGTATTGTTCGTATCGTTCGTATCTCTAGTTTTTTTCTTTTTGTAAGTACATAGAAAACATCTTTGTATATTATGTATGTATGTACAAAAACAATATCTAAGTATTTATATCAGTTGTCCAGTTAGTACCCATAACAAACTCTGTTTACCGTCGGACTAGATAGGCGCAGTGTTATCTGTCCAGGGTTATTATTATTACTATATTTCCCATGACTACCAAATCACTTTAAGGGTTGAAGCCTCAGGTTCGTATTTTTATTATTATGATTATTTACTGACAAATCAAATGAACATATCTTTATTCATGTAGGTCTATTACAGACTCTTATGATATATCAAATCTACCGGTTCGGAATGCTTTCGTGCTGAGAAGGGCTGACGAGAAATTAAGCTCTTATTTTTGTAATTGAAAATAGATACCGTGCCTCGAACGGAAGACCAAAAATCAAGTACCGTACGAGAACCCGTACAGTTGACAGCCCTGATCGGAGACCTTCGTGAACCGCATTCCGTTTTCCATACGATACACGAATCTTTTAACTACAAAAATAAACGCAACTAAAACGGTCGAGTTAGTTTGTTATCTACACTTTGCACTGTAGTTATTATTATATTTTCAGTTAACTCCTACTATTTCACCTGCACAATAATAAAATAAACGTAATATCCCTATACAATTCACACAGCGCCATCTGGTACCAAGCGTAGTAGCGCAGAAGTAGATAGGTATCTCCACACATTGAAACCTAAGTGATCTCGGACAGCGTGGTTTCAGAGGAGCTTCTTCCCGCGTACACTTATATTGTGTAATGAATCTGCCGAGGTTTTCTCGAAAGACATGGGGTTTTTCAAGAAGGACAAATTAAGGTTCGGCAACGTAGTCGTGGTATCTTTAGTGTTTCAAACGTCCATAGGCTACGGTTACCGTTTACCATCAGATGGGCCGTATGCTTGTTTGCCATGCCATGGATCATGAGCATAATTAAGGTCAATCTTTTAATTCGCAGGTATGAGGATTGTTAGTAATGTGGATTAATAACCCTGGAACGGATTGATGGACTGTATAGGTGTCTAAAATATCAGAAGAGCCAATAAACCCCATTGTTAGCAATGTACCATATCAGGTTGACCTCCACGCGGTTCCTCCTGGAAACCATCATAGTAAACCACCTGGTGAATTTGCCACGATGGGCTGACTGCCCTGACCCCTGGTGCTCCGCTAGTGTATACCGTCAGCGCAGGCGGGAGCACCATTCCATTATCTTTCCTTAAAAAAATATCTTTTAGTTCTCAAATCGTACAATGTCGTAGGTAACAGCTTGTTGTAATATATATATAAGTATTCTAAAAAAAATAACATACATGTACATATAATAATTTATTATTAACGTAATAAAAATTTACTTCAAAGACATTAATAATTTTCATAACGTAAATATTTTTGTACCGTTCATAAAAATATTTAATATGCAACTATTACTCTATGGTAGTCTTCTCTATGGTAGGTCGATCCATCATCCAATTCAAACGGGGATCGAAATTACAACTTTTTATTATTTATTAAGATTTATTAAGTATAAAATTAAAATTCTTATATATCTAAATTGCAGGACGCCCTACCCCACTCGTAATTATTATAACTCGTAAAAATTATTATATAGAAATGTATTTATTAATAGTAATTTCTATTAATAAATACATTTCTATATAATAATTATATTAATACGTAAAGCAAAAACTACATACTACAGTATGATATTTCGCACACGGAAAATTTATATATGATGGAATGCAGAATGCAATATGAATATTTTTTTAATTATGCATAAAAAATAGATAAAAATAATATGAAAAACATTACACACAATAACACATATTTGACACACATACACATAGGTCTTTGATAATATAACCTTAATAATGTTCAAACATATAATTCAAATTCATTATGGACGAATTTCGACCATTGGGCGACCACTTAAATCTTTATATAGTATACTAGCTGTCCCGGCAAACGTTTTGCCATATAAATTAATAACACTATATAATAATAGGGGTTGGTGATAAAAGGGTGCAAATTTACTCTTGTATGTATATTTTAATGATACGTAATAAAAAAAGTTTGCCTAAAAAATAAAAAAATAATGTTAGGGGTATAGTATAGTATAGAATAGGGGTTAGTAATGACAACTATTATCACTTAGGGTTATGAAAAATAGATAGTAGCCGATTCTCGGACCTACTGAATATGCATATAAAATTTCATAAAAATCGGTCAAGCCGTTTCAGAGGAGTGTGGTAACTAACATTGTGACTAGATAATTTTATATATAACAAAACAAAGTCTCCGCGGCTGTCTATTCGCTGATATAAATTACGCAATGGATTTTATGCACTTCACAGCAATAGATAGAGTGATTCCAAAGGAACGATTATATGTATAATATATGCGTGGTATAGTATATAAAAAGCAAAGAAATCCAAAGATTTGTAATACATCCATGCGAAAATGGGACGGCTCGCTAGTATAGTATAAATTCCGAATATGAGAATACCGATATTAGGAAACTGTGTCATAACAATCGTGAATACCAAAATAGCTACGTTCAGCTTGGCTCGCAGCTAAAGGTGGCTAAAGCAAACGAAAATAGATTTAATGGACACTGTAGATAACATTCAAATTACATCAATTACATAACAAGATCAGTTGAAGGACGGTGAAACTTATTTTAGAAGTTCCATTCAGTGTAATTCTTCAGATATTCTTCGTACTTCGTTGTCTGGTTCAAAGTGGTCGTAGAGTTACTTGTACCAGTCTTGTTCTTAGGTTTGATGGAAGGTTTGATGTGATGCCTCCATATGTTGCCACAGATTGTCATTAAACTGATAACAGAGAGTCCTAGGAGAAATCCCTGAAAGAAAAAATACAATTAACTTATATAACCCACCCTTTTTACCTAGAAATTTTCGAACTGTTCAAATATTGGCAGCAGCTGGCCTTTACAGCCTCACCGAACGATAGGGGGCGAGTGCAGATGGCACTCCAAACTCGCGGAAGGACTTATAGAGCGACTGAAGGACAACTCCTGCCAGATGGATATGATTTTATTCTGAAGGCTAGTGGTTCGAATCTCGGCTCAGGAAGTTCTAATTGCCATCCCCGTTTGAATTGAATGGAGCTACCAAACCTAGTAGCTTGTCTGCCTGACGGATATGACTAGGTGTTCAAACCTCGGTTTAGGCCCTCGGAATTTTGATCACCGTTTGAAAGGACGGGGTATCGATCGGGTATCTAGCAACCAAGCCAACCAACTTGCTTTGTTGTAGTAGGTATTGGAACAATTTTTTCTGCAAGTGTTAAATACATGAAGACTGGCACAAAGCCAGATATATAACAATCAATGCTCGTCAATGAAATATTTATTATTAAGTTGAAATAACGAAAACTGCTCGGCAACTCATATGTATTTATTTACTTTAATTTTTATAGCTGTCAGATTTACATTTGGTCCGTACATAACTTTAAATAAATGTATATTTTAATTAAATCACACAACCCTATCTAGACCCAAACTATGCTTCATTATATTTAATAATTATATCGTCTTTACATTAAAAGACGGCTAAATATTTGGAAGAAATAAAATGACATTTACAAGATTTCCCTAACATTCACATCATTGTAACTTCTCATCCCAATCCTTCACTATTTCTGCTATTAATCTTTGGAATGCACTTCCTGTTGACCTCAGAAGATGTCAAAACAAATTTTCCTTAAAGAGATCCTTGCGTGAACACTACTGGAAATTCCTGTAGCAATATTCACACAAACCACTGTCTCAAGATATATGTATGTCATGAAATCATATATATTGTATATTTATTATAGTTTTATATTATATTTAATTTGTATGATAATTATTAAGCTTACATATTTCGCTTTATTTATGTAATTTTAGAAGTATATTTGTACGTTTATATATATTTTTTTTTCTGTATTAATCTATTTAATACTTGTAAAATTGCACCGCCATACTATCTCTAATCAACGCGTCGGTTGACTGGCAGAGAACGCCTGATGGCATTCTCTGCCAGTCAACCGACGCGTCAGGCAGTCTCTGCTGCAAGTCCGCCATGTATACAATTTTGTGTGCAAAAGAATAAATAAATAAATGTGCCCCAGGAATCCATAATGATAAATTCCTGGTGAATTTCCCACGATGGGCTAACTGACCTGACCTCATGTTCATCCTATCATCCTTCGCTAGTGCCCCGCCAGCGTAAACCGTTAGCGCAAGCAGTTGCATCTGTCCATTATCATCCATAAAAAATATGACATCAGGATTTGATGGAGGTATTCAGTGGATTATATACAGCAAATATAATTTATTCTCCTTTTGTTCACAGTTGCACGTTCCATACCAATATACCAATACCAACTATTACGAGTTATTAAGAATTCTTATTTTAAATGTAATGGATTAGTCTTTTTCTCTTTAAATCAATGAGCGTAATAAAATTCCGCGAGTCTTCTTGAGAGTTAAAATATATTATTAATAGATTAATAATATATTTTAACAACATTGGTCACTGCACAAGTAAATAGAACTTAGTGACGAAGGTTCAGAGCTAAATTTTCAATTTATTTACTTAACTGTTTAGAAAATTAAAATTCTTACAATGCTTCCGCCGAGGTCCGATAGAAACAAACTCCAGTCATAGTTATATCGCTCCTCGTATACAGTCACCACCATGCCGTTGAAATAAATATATAACTGAAAAAAAAACAAAATGATAATAATAATAACCCCAGGACAAAATAAATGATGACGGCCTCGGTGGTCTAGCGGTTTAACACACCACTTGGTCGCAGGTTCGATTCCACGCACGCTAAAAAACAATGGTAATAATAGTAACCCCATGACAAAACAAATGATGACGGCCTCGGATGTCCAACGGTTTACTTCCGAAGGTCGCGGGTTCGATTACTCGCACGCTACAAACATTAGTATTCATGAGTATAATAGTTTATATAGGTCTGGGTATTTTCTATTACATAGAAAAGTAATGCGAACGATTCAAAAAAACTATGGCTTATTTTACAAATTATTTTATATCTATTTTTTTATTACTATATTTTATTGTTGGTAATTTGGTTCATTTGCGATTAAATGGATAAATCGGGAAGTTTTTGCAACTTGCGACTGAGCAAAATGCCACTCAGTATTTGTTTAAAATTTGCTTTGGTTGTTACGTCATGCCCCAGGTCCCTGCAAGAGAGAGGCCCCGGATGATTGGCCTGTTCACCACCCCTAAGCTTACCACTGGTGCTATTCATGCATATAGGCGATTACAGCTTATTATCAAGTAGTCCTATATAGTTTTGCTTATTTGCTATTTACAAAACTTAAAAAAAATAATAATAGAAAATCATTTATTCAAATAAACACTTAATTTAAGCACTTTGGATTGGTCATCAGTTATCATTATTTTAATCTACCGCTCATTCGGACAGCAGTCTCATCACAAGAAGAACGAGCAACAAACTTGTGTGTTGCTCTTTTAAATAATCATTGTAACTTTACACTTCCAATTCGAAACGTGCGAATACAAACCACCAACTAGCACTAATTTATTACAGTCAGATATTAAGTACACAATAGGATTCAAGTTTTTAGTTTGTTAGTTTAAATACACAGTAGGTTTAACTTTACCTGTGACTGTAGAGTGGCATCGCCAGTTCGTACAGCCCATTGTCTGCTGACCGAATCCCAGGAGTAGAAGCTCTGCCGGTCGTTCACGAAAGAATTGTAGAGATACGAGCGGCAGAAACGAGGACAGATGCTGCAATTGGGCTTGTTATAAAACCTAAAAAAAGATACATTTGTTTATATCCATTTTGGAGAAGACTGTTTTATTTCAGGAGAAGAAAGAATAAAACAGATTAAGCAGAAAAGAGCAGAACACAACAAAGTGTAATAAAACGGCGTAGAATGTAATACAGACCGTCGTGGCCTAATGATGCACTACCCTGAATTGCTCACAAGAGGTGGTAAGTTCAAAATTTACTGATTGCAATAAAAAGTTTTTATATCAATTTATATTCTCCGCTGTACGATGAACCAATAATTTAGATGATATATTATCTGTTACAGTATAATTACATTATGATTTATAATTATAATAACCCAGAACAATTCACACAGCGCCATCTAGTCTAAAGCTACATAAGCAGAGCTTGTGTTATCGATTACTAGACTACTAATGGAAATAATTATTTTTTTATAAATACATACACAATTTACATAGAAAACACCCAGACTGATACAAATAATCATACTCATGAATACAAATGTTTGCACCGGGCAAGGATTCCCGCAATAATCGGACGTAAAGCGCTAGACTACTGAGGCTTCAATACTTACGTCATATATGCTGAAATAAGTTCACGCATTCCTCTATAGCTGTTACAGTATGGCAGATTGCTGTTCATCCAAGGTCCTGAGCAGCCGGCAAGATTGCCTGATTGATCCCATACGAATTGCGTAGTACACTGAATGAAAGAGAACAAAACAAATATAATAACCGGCGACGATATGGGACTCACGTTTTCCCCTTAAACTTAAGGGAAAATTTTACAAGACCATGCTCCGGACTGATGTCTTATCTCATCAGAGTGATGGCCAATAAAGGCGATGAATGAAAGACGACTGCATGCAACTGAAATGCGAATGTTCAGATGGATGTGTGGTGTGACAAGAATGGATAAGATAAGGAATGAGTACATTAGAGGAAGTATGAAAGTGGCGCCGGTGTCGTGAGGTCGAAGACTGTATCTGTCGTGGTATGGGCATGTAACGCGTAGGAATGAGGATCATAGTTTAAGGAAGGTGAACATATGAATGTGGATGGTTATAAAGGCAGAGGAAGGCCGAAAAAAAAAATGAATGGACTGTGTGAAAGATGATATGGTAAGAAAGGAAGTAAATAACGAGATGACTGCGAACATGGATGAATAGAAGTGTTGTGTCGACGCTACCGTGGCAGATTGCCGTCATGAGTGATCACACAGACAATATCAATATATTATTTTTAAAATATTAATTCATGTATATGTTAGTTTATAAGGTATTTAAAATAGGGGCCTAGTTGCCTGAAATAATATATATAGATTACATACTTCATTAGCACTGTAGTTGTCCATATGTGTGCAGGGATCGTCCTCAGCACTGATCTTCACGTACTGTTCCACTTTCAGCTTCACATCCAACGTGTCTCCTATGTTAACATATATGTAATCAACCTGACCTCCATTGTACACATGAACCTCTGGAAAAAGATTAAAAGTCTTATCGTTACTACTAGTCATGCTCGCTATAAAGTTCAAACTAGTGGCGGCGTGGTGGGCCGGGTCGATGCTCTCTCTAATAAGGTTGAGTGCAATGATGTCTGGCACATCCATCATACTTGTGAACGGGTGCTGCTTGTGAGGACTGGTCTGTTCGGTTTACGAATACTGATTTGCTTTTGCAATGGCATATGAAGGTCACTCTATTCTCCCAAATTTGAATTTAAAAATGAATCTGTATTATTGTAAAAATGTACATTTATTGCTGAGCTGATGTTCCTGTCAGTTCTTCTCATCTCGAAATCATTCCGAACTGACGGTAGATTTGACATATCATAAGCGTCTTAAAAGACCTACATGAATAAAGATATTTTGAATTTTTTTAACTATTGCCACTTAAGAATACTATGTTTTTTTACGCATGGAATGGCAAATAAACTGTTGGCACCCCATTGTTTTTTAGGACAGGGACAAACGAGTTTGCGGCCCACATGGTAAGTTATTTTTGCCGCCCAAAAACAATGATGCTGTGTAAGTCCAGGATATTAAAAAACAGTCAAGACCTGTAAACGGCTCCCGGTGGTAATGCAGATGGACGTGATATCCTGGTGGAGAAATGCTGCTCGCAGTGGCCACATCGTCAGCACTGTGCTGTAGCTTAATGGAGTAGCCGGTTGCTTTAGTCGCCTGCCTGCTTATTATCTTAGGGGAGAGTGTGTAGCATCGACCGTACATGAACCCTAATGTTGACTCCAATTCCAAATCTATAAAAAAATCATATTTTAAGGTTAGTTGTATCTATACAACTAGCTGATCCCGTCAAACAAACGTTGTTTTGCTATATAAATTGAAATCGCTATTAAAAAGTAGGGGTTGAATAGAAGCGTGAAAATATAGGATATTTTTTAATATCATTTTGTTATTAAAAAAAAAATTTAAAACAGTTTTTCACGAAATGCAGATGTGATGTGGAAGTGAACACTCTTTCCCGAATGAAAACAGATTCCTGAAAGAGCGTGTACGTAAGACAGCTATAGCGTGCGTGTAGAGGACTATAGCGTGTGTGTAAAGGCAGTTATAACGTGCATGTAAAGACAGATAAAGCGTGCGTGTAAAGACAGATGTAGCGTGCTTCTAAAGGCAGCTATAGCATGCATTTAAAGGCATATAGTGCATGTAAAGGCAGCTATAGTTTGTGTAAAGGCAGATATAACGTGCGTGTAAAGGCAGATACAACGTGCGTGTAAAGGCAGATACAGCGTGCGTGTAAAGGCAGATATAGCATGCGTGTAAAGGCAGATATAGAGTGCGTGTAAAGGCAGATATAGAGTGCGTGTAAAGGCAGATATAGAGTGCGTGTAAAGGCAGATATAGAGTGCGTGTAAAGGCAGATATAGTGTGCGTGTAAAGCAGCTACAGCGTGCGTGTAAAGGTAGCTAATGAGTGTCACAAAAACTCACTGTCACTGCGTCCGTCTAAGCTGAATTCCACGAATATTTCCTCTGCATCATACGTGATATCTTGCCACAGCTGATCAAGGTCTACTCCAGAGAAGTTGAACATTGACCACGTCGAAGTTAGACGGGGATGATAATACAGACCATATTCCTGGAAACGATGATCAGAGTTCATTTCGTTGCAATATCCCATTCAGCATCCGAAACAGGTGAGATTGAAGTATCTACAGGTGAGTAGAAGTAAGTAGTAGTTAGAAGAGCTGACGACTTTGTAAGAAGTCTCAGCATTATCAATCAATATAATCATGTACTATTTTAACTGTGTACTTACTAAAACCATAACATATATACATATACATAACTAGCTGTTACAGAAAAAAGTACATAAACAAAATTCTAAAAAAAATGGTATCCTAAGTATCCTAATCTTAAAATATTAACTTTCGGTGAAAATCGTCCAACCATCGCCCAGACGTTTCATACATTAGCAATAACAAATAGACAGATAGGGAGACATTATTTTTTATTTGGTGCGTATGTTTATGAGTATGTATGTTTGTTATTCCTTCATGCAAAAACTACTGAACGGATTTTGATGAAACTTTGGAGTAATATAGCTTATACATCAGAAAGACATTAGCAAGAACAAACAGACAGATTTAATATTTTATATAATATCTCTCGAAAGTTTATGAGTGTGGATGGATACATAATTATAAAAATGTTTGTTATTCTTTCACGGAAAAACTACTGAACAGATTTTGACAAAACTTTACTATATATCAGAATAACACATTGTTCAGGCGCGATTGCACTAATTTGTGGCCCAAATTGTATTTTGATACTGCAACACTGAAACGTCGGTATTTCAGCGCGCCATAGACAATATGTTAACCGTTACATATTCATATTCGAAATTCTCTAACGATTAACGATCATATACGAATTATCCTACGCAACCACTGTAAACCTATTTTCCAGGAATTAAAAATGTAGCCACGAATGGAGATTCGGACCGTAGTGTAATCAAACTCGGAGGAGTTTGATTACACTACGGTGTACTGTATATATTTGTATTATAATCATTTCACATCATTATCTCTTTTCATGACAAATGGCCGCTTACAGACAAGAATAGAATAGAAAATCATTTATTCAAATAAACTTACATTGAAGCACTTTTAAATAGTCATTACATTTTTTTTAATCTACCGCTCGTTCGGAAAGCTGTCTCATCACAAGAAGAACGAGCAAGAAACTTGCGTGTTGCTCTTTTAAATAATTTTATTATTACTTTACATTTTTAAGTTTAAGTGTGTGAATACAAACCACCAATTAGCACTAATTCAATTAAATACTCAAATAGAAAAATATTGAATATATAACCAACTGGTTCAACAATTAATAAGAGGAAATCAGTCATAGTGTTTATAGCAGACCAGACAAACACGTTCCATATTTCACCTATAAAATATTCTCACATCATCCGTCACTCGCCTCATACAGCTCTGTTCCATATATATATCTATATTTTCTTTAAGATAATCTTTTGTTAATATTATTCTTTTCAATATACTAATTATTAGTTGAGGGTCTATTTTATTTGTATATTTATTGTTACCGACCCCACAACACCATTAAGACCCTCTTCTCACTAAAAGGCGTAAACACAGATAGTTATTAATATGTAGATACATACCAGTAGCTTGTCATACTTGTAAGGCGGCTCCCTGCACAATGTAACGCTTGGGTACAATATTGTTTTGTTAAAGTCGAAATGTGTGTACGTTGTAATTGGTTTATTCATTATTTTTTTGACGCACAATATCACCTTGTTTGGTAGAAATACAAAATAAATTAGAAATACATTTCATTAGAAATACAAATAGGTCTAGCAGCTTATCACACCGCTTTTCTCTCGATGGGCGTGGATTCGAGCATTTCTATTACTAAGTCATTATCGGTATAGGGATATTTTCTATATATATTATGTATGTATTTACAAAAACTATCAGTTGTTTAGTACCCATAACACAAGCCCTGCTTAGCTTGGGACTAGAAGGCGCTGTGTGAATTGTCCTGGGTTATTTTTTCTTGTCCAAGTCACTATTCATAGGCCGCCATCTTGTGCCCCACTAGTCTTTAAAAACCGGAAGTGATAACATATACTATGTTATTTAGTATTTAGTTATTAGTTAATAATATTACATCAGGGGGAAGGAGATTGTTAGTAATGCGGACTAATGACCCCATTACTAGCAATGTACCATGTCAAGTTGACCTCCACGCGGCTCCCCCTGGAAACCAACTTGACAAATTCTTGGTGAATTTGTCACAATGGGCTAACTGAGCTGACCTCATGTTCATCTTATCATCCGCCACTGGTGCCTTTTTAAAAGGCCGACAACGTACTTGCAATTCCCATGGTGTTGCGGGTGCTCATGGGCGACGGTAATCACTTACCATCAGGTGAGCCGCATGCTCGTTTGTCCCGTGTTATAAAAAAAAAAGTCCTAATAGATTGCAATAGATTTTCTCACCTGCTGAATTACAATTCCCAGGCAAATAACAATTATTAGGGATCGTATCAAATTCGGGCCTCTGTAGAAGTTTACGCATTTCTGTTTTATGGTTCCCATCGGTACTCCCTTAAACAAGACAACTTCTATATCTTATTGTAAAAATAGTTAGTATATACCACAGATAATATAATATTACATAGTATATAGAGAAAAACAAAAAAAAAAGCGGATATAATATATTTTCCATCGGCAATAAAAAATAAATAAACGTTGTTTACCATATATTTTTTTTTGACAATTCACACAGTGTCATCTAGTCCCAAGTTAAGCTAGCTAAAGCTTTTGTTATGGGTATTAGATAACTGATACATATACATAGATTTTTTTTTGTAAATACATATTATATATAGAAAACACCCAGGCCGATACAAACAATCATACTCATGAATACAAATGTTTATGCCGTGCGAGGAATCGAACCCGCGACCATCGGTCGTAAACCGGTGTGCTTGACCGCTAGACCACCGAGGTTTCTAGGTATATTATGTACATATTTACAAAAAATCTGTCTAGTACCCATAACACAAGCTCTGCTAACCTTAGGACTAGGGGGTGAAGGGGACTGTTAGTAATGTGGACTGATAACCCCATTACTAGCAATGTACCCTGCCAGTTCGACCTCCACGCGGTTCCCCCTGGAATCCTCCCCATCGTGTTAAATTCGCACATCCCGTGTAAAAAGGCCGCAACTACACTTGCGTCAAAAATGTTTTATTACATAAATAAAGCGAGCTTCGCGGTTTACACCTTCTGTCAAAATCTCATGAAGCTATCGATACAAAATTTATATATAAGATATAGCAAAAATGAAGGAATAAATGCAAAAATACTAAAATTTTGCGACTTTAGAAAACATAAAATCCCAGCATAAAATAGAGGTATGCGTATTTGCATTTATTCGCTTTACAATTATCCCGCTCATAAAGTCATAATTGTATTTACGTAAATTTTAAAAGAAGATTTACAAAAAAATGTTTAACGCAAATATACTTAAATACTTGTTCCTATATCTTACAATCTAGGACTATTGTGTAATTCTAATTACTTACTTCTTCTACGAAACTTTTAGCTGATAGTTTATGTGTGATTATTGTTACATACTTTTCCCCCAGCAAAACTTCACAATGCGTAAAGTGTAGTTGTAGTTACTTCTTTATTACACGTAACATTTCATACCTGATGTTGGGTAATTTTAAATACAGCATGTATTTACAAGAAAAAAAAATTAAGAATATGTTCATGTAATTAAAATTAAGTAAAAAAATAAACTATTTTTAGCTAATTGTATAAGCTGACGGCGCACCAATGATGGATGATAGGAGGAGCAGGAGATCAGATGAATTTGCCAGGAATAGTAATAATAAATGATAGAAAAATCGATCTGCTTTTAGACATTTACCATAGAAGAGCGAATTGATACAAGTGTATATAAAAACAATAGATAAAAAGAATACTTCTATTTTAAATATGGATAAACGAATATACAATTGCCAGTGAATCTTATTATAGGTCTAACAGGAATTAACTAACGATGGTTTCCAGGATGGACCGCGTGGAACTAAATGTACCTTATATTGCTAGCAATAATATTCAATATTAATTCCCACTGTTCATAATAGGTACACATACAATACTAGCTGGTCCCGCAAACGTTACTTTGTTATAAATTACTAGCTGTGCCCGCGTTAAATTTCAATAAAAAATATATCCTGTGTTATTCAGATGCATAAGCTATATTAGTGTAAAGTTTCGTAAAAATCCATTCAGTAGTTTTTGCGTGAAAGAGCAACATACAAACTTACAAACTTTCACGTTTAGAATATTATATTAAGATTAAGATTTCTGAAAACTATTAAAGTACTAATCATCATAATTTCAACTTGTGGCTACCCACAGTTGGATATAGGCCTGTCCGAATTCGGCTTTGGTGGTCTAGCGTTTAAGCACACCGATTTACTTCCAATGGTCGCGGGTTCGATTCCTCGGACGGTGCAGATATTTGTATTCCTGAGTATGACTGTTTGTGTGGGTCTGGGAGTTTTCTATGTATATGTTTCATGTATGTATATAAAATCTAAGTATTTATTGATATAAAGCTTGTGTTATGGGACAACTGATGTTGTCCCATAACACAAGCTCTTCATACCGTGTGACTAGAAGGCGCTGTTAATTGTTGAGTATTTATTTATTTCCCAATTTCTTACACCATGTGCGATCTTCCGCCTTTTGTTTCCATCGACTCCCGGTCACCTTCGTGATATCGTCGGTTTATTTTGCAGGAAGGCGCCGGACACTCCTTAACTTATATTAGAACTAATATCGCTATTAAAATGTAGGAGTTGATGGTAGAAGGAGGAAATGTAGGAGTTCGATGTATGTATTATTATGATTTTTTTATGATTCAGTTAACGATGAAGATGGTCCAAATCGATAAGGTTGTTGATAACATACTAATAGACCAATCAAAATAAGAAGTAAACCAAAAATGTCATTGATCAAATTAATATGTTTCCACATAAAGAATCGCATTATCTCCGCAATCTAACAATGATAAATTCTAGATGAAAAGCATAATTGCGCTAAAATGCATAGTTTATACTTATAGTGCATTAAGAAAAACCCAGATTATGAAAATGTTACTCCAACCTCTCAGAGATGGTACTATAATATTAGGTACTTACATATGAAATTGGTGTTTTGTCGTACTGGCCACTTTGATCTCAAATATCTCCTCTTTCGCCAGGAATTCAAAGTTCAAATTTGTACAGTTATTTACTCATGCATTTGTTTTTCGAAAACCGTAATCTATATGTTTTTTCCATCTTTGGTTTTTTCTTTACGTCACTGAGTTTACAAAATGGAAAACATAAAATATCGCGTTTTTTAAGAGTACGAATTCCGTCGTGGCACCAGTGTGCAGAAACGACTCGAAGAATTAATGATGTGTATGGCGATGGTGTTGCAAAAGAAAACATGGTGCGTTTTGGTTCCAATGTTTTCGTTCTGGAAATTTCGATCTGCAAAACAAGCCCCGTGAGCAGCCAGAGTCCAAGGTTGATAATGAAGAATTAAAGGCTAATGTGGAAGCGGATCCATCGATAACCACGTCCGAGTTAACTGCAGGCTGCAGTGTTAGTAACAAAACTGTTTTAATCCACTTGAAGCAAATTGGGAAGGTGAAAAAAGCTTGAAAAGATCATGAATTGAATGGAGCAAATCGACAAACGCGCGTAGACTGCTGCGTTATTAGCCAACCGGCATAATAATGAAGGGATTTTAAATCGGATCATTATTTTCTATATATATTATGTATGTATTTACCTGTTATGAAAAGTGGATCTTGTACGATAATCGGAAACACTCATCGCAATGGCTGAATCCTAGCAAACTAATCAAATCCTGCCCCAAGCGAAAATTCAAACTCAAAAAAAGTTACTTGTGAGCACTTAGTGGACTAGTGCCTGTGTTGTTCACTTCAGCTTTCTTAAATCTGACCAGAATATTATGGCAGATGTGTATTGTCAGCAATTGCAAACCATGATGGAAAAGCTAGCTAGCTGCTAAACAACCGAGACTGGTCAATCACCGTAGGCCACTGCTGCTTCAGGACAACGTTACGAAATTAGAAGAGCTTCAAATGTCCAATATTTCCACCATACTTCCCGGATCTTTCTTTCAAAATTTCTTCCAGCTTTCTTTCAAAATTTGGATAACTTCTTGCAAGGGAAAAAATTCAAATCCGATTTATCGATACCCGTCCTAATGGTTTTTTAGTAAAGGGATCAATAAAACTACATTTTTACATTTTGATTAAATAAATATATTATATTTTGAAAAATCAACTGAAATTGGCGTTTTGTAAGGGAGTAATTAGGTTACTCCCTTACAAATTTCATATGTTAGGACCTAATATATTTACTAAACGAGTTGGAGTAAAATTAAAGAGATTTCGGCAGATCCTCAATGTCCGGGAAATTCCAAATAAAATACGCATTCGCTGATGAGACACCAAATAATAGACAAATAGAAGGGGAAGAGTTATGAGAAAAAAAGAGCTGCACACAGCGAGCCTTCTGAAATCAAGCATTAGTATGATGCACCGTTACCGATACCTAAAATATATACAAAGACTTGATGAATCTATATAAAGATAAAAACATACCACCACACTATCGACGTTTTATAAGAACTTAAGTACTACATCTAAGACTAAACTAAACTAAACCACAGAGTCCGATTCAAAAGTTGAGGATAATGAACGTTAATAAAAATAATAAAAATATCACTATTTTGAACATTTTTTGATTAAGTTGATTATGGAGGCATCTAGTCCCAAATAAAGCTAAAGCTTTGTTAATAAAAATAATAATAAATTAATAATAACCCTGTTTGTTTTCATATTCTCTAAATTAATTTGCCCCTATATTTATATTTTTGACTTACATGCACGCACATAATAGACTATTTACTGTAAGAAGTAGGTATTACATGATACAAATTAAATATTCAGTTACTTTCCGCATTATAAAAGCTATTTTTATAAATACACTAACTAAACTAAAATAAATGGCTCCCTAGAAATACGTAACTCGATGTACAAAAAATGATATTTCGTTAAATAACAACGTAATTATACTTGCAATTCTAGATTTTAATGAAATATAGGAGAGTATAAAGGCGTAAGTAGAGTTAAATTTGTTCGTATATGTAAAAATACATAACAATAAAGCAATAATTGTAGTTACCCCTGCAAATGTTCTTTGTGTTTCGTGGAATACAGAAGTAACCGTGTTTTTTTAGATTATCTGGAAGTACATGAAGCTGTTCCTAAATTAAATGACACATGTAGTTGAAGGCAACTGTGACCTACGATTTTCTCTTTGAAACTTATTTCTAGAACTCATACAAAAAATATAGGACAGTTTTTTTAAGCTCCTGAAAAGTTGGTGAAAATCACTTACTTCCTTTTTCCACGAATGGTGCGAATTCTTGGCGAATTTGTCACGATGGGCTAACTGTCTAGACCTCATGCTCATCTTATCATCCTCCACTGGTGCCCCGCCAGC